CAGTAGATAGTTGTATGTCATAGTTGCACATCCTTCTAGTTGCTGTATGTGGGACGCGGCCTCAGCATGGCTGGAGAAGCGGTGGGTCGGTGTGCACCCAGCATCCGAACCCGGGCCGCCAGCAGCGGAGCGCGCGCACTTAACCACTAGGCCACGGGGCCGGACCTGTTATGTTTCTTATCTACATTTTTAGTAGTATTTTTATGTTTATACACTCACAGTGCTTAAGGCAAATAAATCTTCCAAATGATCACAGATGACATTTGGATTAATTAATTCTCTATTTTCTGCATTGTCAATTAACATTAATTTCTTAATTTTGTGTGTGTGTGTGTATAGAAGATGGTTCTGATCACTTCAAGATTGATGCCAACAATGGTGAAATAAGAACGACCACAAGACTTGCATATGATTCTAGACCTTCCTACAGGATGACTGTAATTGCCAGAGACCAGGGAGCAGCTCCCCTTCAAGGACAGGCAGTTCTTAATATTCAGGTAATGTTTCGTCATCACCATAAAATGTGGAAGGATGTTCTGAAGTTTTAGTTTGATTTTTATACAAAGAGTGAAGATACATTAAATGCATGAATGGTATTTTTAGAAAGCATTGCAAATATATGTGTGCCTTTTTATTAGCACTTGAGAAATGATTCGATTCAAATAACTTTTTAACTTTGTACGGTTCCTGACAAGATATTAACCCTCATCACTATTTGGGCATTTATGTCTCTTTGTTCATGAAGAACAAAAATGGTCTTTTCTCTTACTTTTTCCAAATATTAAGGACCTGGTAAATTTGCAGGAGAAACTTGTATGTAAACAAATGGCCGATAATAAGTCACATAGTGCTTTGTAATTATTTTTAAACTTAGAAAAATCATTTAAGATCCATATTTTAAGATCCATATTATAATCATAATGAGGAAAGAAGTTGATGGAAGTCTTCGTAGTAGGCAAAAATTATACCAACCAGTCAAAAGTAACATGACTGCACATAGCTAGATTTCTTTGTTCATGCACATGATAATCAGTAATATTAATATCAGTATGCATAATAATCAAGAATATATATCCCCAAGAGTTCTGTTTCCAAATTATATTCTTTACTGATTGAGGATATGTGAGTTAGAAGAAAATTCTATATTGTAATACCTCAAGTCTCTAATTTCAGATAAACAAAGACACATGATACAAAAGTGTACACAGATGTTGTCATTATGGATATATTGGTCTCTAGGATTTAGAGCAATTTGGAGAACTAGCTATCCCATATTCCCACTGAAGAATCACAAGGCTACAGTTCAGTTTAACTATAGCATTGTCTCACCAAACTATCATTTCACACATTACGACAAACAGAGAAGTGGAAAATTCTTTATTCTCTTATCTACCAGATATTATGCAATTTTCAATCTTCAGAGACACATTGGAATTATATAATATAAAAACACATTTTCTCACTAATTAACATATGTATATCACACAAATGGAAAGAATTACCTCCCAAAATAATATTGTAACATGTATTGATTCATCTGTTTAAAAATATCCCAAATTAACAGCCCCTTTTTATTCTTATTTCAGGTGATACCACTGTCCAAAGGGAGAGCTATCCTTTCTCAGAGTATTAGACATTTGGTTATACCAGAAAACTTGAAGCCTGCAAAAATAATGAGCTTAAAAAAGTCACCTGATCATCTTGACCAACATCATAATGGAAAATTACATTTTAGTATTGCTGCAGATGACAAGGATGGCCACTTTGAAATTGACAGCTCGACAGGGGACTTCTTCCTTTCTAAGGAACTGGATTATGAAATGACATCTCATTATCTTTTCAGGGTGGTTACTAAAGACCATAGCAAAATTCCTCCCCTGAATAGCACAGTCTTCCTTAGTATTGATGTGGAAGATCAAAACGACCATTCTCCTTCTTTCCAGGATGAGTTCATTGTGATAAGCATAGAAGAGAATGTCCCCATAGGAACTCTGGTGCATGTTTTCAATGCCAAAGATGGCGATGGCAGTTTTTTGAACAGTCGAATACAATACTTCATTGAATCCCACCACCCTGGAGTGAATCCATTTCTCATCCATCCCTCATCTGGCACATTAGTCACCGCATCCCCCCTTGATAGAGAGAGCGTTCCGACTGTTGTCCTGACAGTAACTGCATCTGATCAGGCTGTGAATGTGACAGACCGGCGATTCAGATCCTTGATGGCAAAGGTAGTGATTTTGGACGTAAATGACCACAGCCCCACTTTTATGTCTTTCTCCTTCGCCCATATCAAAGAGGATGCCAGGGTGGGCTCCTTGGTGCACCACATAACTGCTCAAGATCCAGATGAAGGAAGGAATGGAACAGTAACATACAGCATCCTCTCAGGAAACGAAAACATGGCCTTTATGCTAGATGAGTCATCAGGTACCGTATATGTCATTGTCAATTAAAGCCTCTGATCACCTGCTTAAATTTATCTTTTTCATTTTCCTCTGTTAAAATGATAGTTCTCAAGATGCCTATGCTTTGAAGAAATTTGACTTGATTTATTGTTTAACTGATAATAGGTGATAAGCACAGAGGTTGTATTCAGAAAACCAATTGTAGCTGGCCTGTTTGTTAATGTTGACTATGCTTTGTAGCTAGCTCACATCTCTTGGGATGAATATACAGTAGTAAACTTGTTTGCCCCCATTGTGGGTCCTCACAGGGTAGGAGATGGTACCAAAAGTGAGTCAAGGTAAAATAACAGCAGCATTATTCAAAGACCTTAGTGTGGAAACTTATTTTTAAGATCATGCAAACATACAATTATAAGTAGTTGGAAATAATGTGTTTTTAAATGGTTGGACTGATTTGGACATTAAGATCCTTACTTCTCACATCAATTGTAACATTTTATTTTTTGCAGAAGCATTTATTCACTGTAAGTACTCTGCAGAAATGTCACTCACTTGTCTTGCTGTCACCATGTTGCCAGATAACATCTACTAAAAATTTTGATGTGGTTTGATGGACGATTACATGTGCAAAGTGTCGTGAAATTGGAAATGAAATTCCCTCAACTTGATTTTCAGGAGATATTGAAGAGATGGACTACCGTCTCATTCTCTAAAAAATAAAGTCATTTCTGCATGAGCCTTAGAAAAAAATCTCAGATGTATACCATTTGGCCCAACTGTTAGTAAGAGCATTATTTGGAATGGAATTGAATGTGTAAGATTTGGAAGTCATGATTATAGTCTGGCTGTATGCTGTTGGAAAATTTCATCAAAATATTTATTAAATCCTGTACATATGGTTCCATTCTGAGGCATGCATGAACACCAACTAAAAGCCCAGCTGACAGAGAGATAGTCCAGATCCAGTTGCTGATTTCTGTTAGAGCTGGGGTCTCCAAGGACCTGTTTCAACAATATTTAAAATGTTTTCCAAAATGGTTAAGGAAGGTCTATTTCAGATTGTTAAAGAAGATGCATAAAATTAGAATTTTGTCTTCAGTAGTATAGGTTTCATGAATCTTGAACAATCGCAGTGGCTCTTTCAGTTGAGATATTTTTCAAAGACATAAAATGATAATTGCTGAATGCATTCATAAGAGATGGGCTGTTTTTTCTCTCACAAGGCTCCTCTTTCTTATAAAGAAGACATAGTGAGTTTTTCAGTGGCTTTTGGCTGTGAAGTGTAAAGTGATAAGTAATTATTGAAAAACCATTTTATAAAATCTGAATCCATAAACCTCTTTAAGTATTTGAAGAAAAGTTCTTATAGGATGAGCATGTGTTAGAGAAGCAAACAGCAATCCTAAAAGAAAAAATGTGACAATTGGAATCATGTAACAGCTATATATGTGCAAGTCTCTATAAAACTTTGCTTAAATGAGTTACATGCTTAAATGGTGGTAGGATGGAGACATGTTTTATTCATGAAGTTTATTGTCTGAGTTATAAAGTCTTTACTATTTTTTGTTCATAAAAAAAGACAGTTAACTGAGAGTAGTATAAAGAGACCATAACTCTTTAACAAAAACTAAATATTTTAAAGAATGTAGCCATACTCACCATTTTGTAACTTGGTCAGTTTTAAACATGAATTGTTATTTGACATAAAGATGTATACTGTTAGAACCTAGATAATTTTTTAAATGAAGGTAGATGTTGGATAGATAAATAATTTTGAGGGAATCCTTTCAGTAGGTAATGGTATATGATAGATTATTTCTGAATTCTCATTCATCCTTATAATTTGTTAGGATGATTTTTCTGACTAAAAATGTTCTTTTTATTCTGGATAATATATAAATGTAAAGTTGGTTTAGTAAGATTTATTCTTTAACAAAGAAAGCTTCTGAATTTTTATCAAGTTAGGTAAGTTAGACGTAGGTAGAGTAAGTGTGACTTCTCTAAAGAATATTTAGTACATATTGTTTTCTTCTCTTTCAAAATAGGCTTACTAACTACAACTTGTCCATTGGATTATGAAATAAAAACTCAGCACATTCTGACCCTTCTGGCACTGGATGATGGCGTACCAGCACTTTCTTCATCCCAGACTTTGACAATTACTGTTCTTGACGTAAATGATGAGGCACCAGTATTTAAGCAGCACGTGTATGAAGCTTCAGTTAAAGAAAACCAAAATCCAGGAGAGTTTGTCACAAGGGTTGAAGCTCTGGACAGAGACTCAGGTAATTTACAAATATAGAAACTAGGTAGTTAATGATAAAAAAATGGACATAATTTAAACTACTTATGGCCCAGAAAAATAAAACACAGTTGCTAGTTATCTCAAACTTCTAATACCTCTTAAATTAGCATACACATAAAAACACATACACATGTAAACATAATAGTGTGATTTTATATAACATTTGTTTGTATTGATCTTTAATATTTATAGCAGAATGATACTTACCTAATTAATATACAATTTATGGATTTGATCATGATAATAAACAGAAGTATAGACAAGGTATCACATTGTTTGCAGAGTGTAATAGATAGATACATTGAGTACAGGAAGGCAAATAGTTCTTTCTTTCCTCTATATGTAGCATAATGGAAGAGAGAAGATGCTGATGTCAGACTGCCTGGATTTGCATCCTAGAACTACCACTTCTTAAGCTGTGTAACCTTGGACAAGTTACTAGTCCTCTCTGTTTGCTTATCTGTAAAATGGGGATAATAATAGAGCCTAATTTGTAGTTCTGTTATGAGTATGAATGAGTTACTACCTGTAAAGAGCTGAGACCAGTGTCTGGCACAATAAATGGTCAATAAATGTTAACTTCCATCAGTACTATTATTACTAATATTACTAATATCAACACTGTGTCCAGACAAATGACTTTGAAGTAAACAGTTATGTGGCTAGGCAGTAAATTTCTTAGAATTGCTCTTCAGTATTGCTGTGACTTTTCTGGCATTTAAAGTTCAGTAACTTTAATAATATTCTGTTTTTATTTTAAACAGAGTAATTATAAAAATTCCAGTGAAGTATTTGCCACTAACAGCATATGCTGAATTTTCCCATCTGAATTAATACGAATAGTTTAATAAGCCAGTCTTTTTCAATTTACATTTGTATATACCAAGTGGCATTACATAATCAGTATAATATTTTGTTCTTTTCTTGCAAGAATTGTATTACATGTTTCTATGGAAATAATAGTGTTAATAATAACATTTTCCTCCTAACTTCTTCATCAAAGGGGTAAAAGATACATTTTTGAGCTTTTAAACTAAATTATATACCATTTAGATGCTTTGCCCTTTTGGAAAACATCATCTTTCAATGAAATGCATTTTACATGAATTTGTATGTGATGCTACAAAACTTTCAAGGCTAACTTAATTTTTTCTCTTTTGACCAGAGTGGGGCAGTGTGATCAAATAGTTTTTCTTACACATGACTGGAGAGTGCTAACAATTGCTTGTCCCAACCTGTGCTTAAAGAATTTATTTAGCACATTTCTGGCAGTATGGTTTTTAGGGTGATAGAAACAATGGAGGATACACATATGCCTTGTGTTTCACAATAATTCTAGTTCAGTGAAATTCTCTGAGAGCATTCTCTGAGGTAAATGGAGCCACACAGACACCACTTCCCAAAGTACACAGACATAGGCTGAACCTGTCACTGATGTTGTGAGATTTAGCAATCAATAAAGTATGTAAAATGCTTCCTCTTCCCACCTTACTTTATTTTATTAATTTTATTTTTTATAATGGACTCTACTAAAAGGATTTATTTGCTTTAATATTTAAAGAAAGAGAAAAGAATTTCTCTCAAGTTTTTCATATATCAACTAAAGATGATTACCATAAATATACTTTCCTATTTTTACTGTCAAGTTGCCTAGTGTCACTGTTATTTTCATTTAAAATGAATAGTCTGTGATGTGTTACCGTCCTTACAACTGAATTGAAATTTCGTTATTCTAGGGAGTATGGTTTGTCAGATGGAGAATTTAGATGCAAAACTGGTTTTTTTGGTTTGCCATTTATGGATGCTTGAAATACACATTAGCATCTTCATGAGTCTCATGTACCTTCATGTGTTTTGGAGAGAATTTTGGTTTCCTGGAAATCTCAGTGGAGGCCAGATCTCTTAAGCAAGTGGTTATGTAAATGCATGTGAATTTTTGTGTATGCATGTGCTTTTGAACATATTTTCCCTCAATCTATTTTTTTTTTTTTTGCTTGTATGGTTGTTGGGTTAAAACAATGAAAAAGGATTATGCAAAAGAATTAAATGACATAGTCAAGATTTTAACATAACTGGCATCACACTGGAATTTATGAATGGTTTACTTTATAGTATATATTTTTAAAAATACTATGGCATTACTTAATACTAGAAAGCTTGACATATGTTTTCCAGCATTCTATAATGCAGTTTTTAAAAATGTAAGCCTACAGTGTTGTTTGGCATTCAAAACCCATGAGAATTCAAGCACTGAATGTTTATGATGTATGACTCACACTAGTTCTAACAGGAGTATTTTCTTGTATTAGAAGGGAAAAACAACTACCAGGTTTTAACTAAGATATTAAAACTGCTACAGCATTTGGTGCCACCTACAAGAGCTTCATTGGTAGTTAGAAAAGATCCACCCCCAGGGCACCCCTCCCCCAGTCCTGGGAGGAAAGGGTGACCCCCCCCCCCGAAGGTGACTCACTCCTGGCTGATACATTTGCTGAATAGTGGTGAATATAAAATAATTTAACAGTACATTGCCATCCAAAAATGTTCTATATTGAAATCTTTGGAGTTCTATAATGAAATCTTATTCTCTATTCCACAAAAATGTAATCTCTGTCTGGGTTTATCTGGAATAAAGTCTACATCTGATTTCCTGGAAAATATCTCACACTGGATATACCACCACACCCAACAGCCTACACTTGGACCAAGGGAGAAACACTGCCATGACAGTATTTCATTTATTTCCTCAAATCTAAGACACCATTAGTTGTAAGATGCATCTAACCTCAGAAATGTTAAAATGTGGGGGGGAAATGTGTCTTAGAATTAATGAAATAGTAAACAGAAAAAAAGAATAAGGACCACACATAACCTCACTCACCCAGAGATGAACACTGTTCAAACTTTGATGTATTTCTTATTTCATTTGATACATGGTATTATAATCGTGTAATTGTTTATTTGTCTGCCTGCCCTTTAGACTCTGAACTTCTCATGGATTCAGGCCATGTTTTATACACTTTTATCCTAGGTCCCTAGGATAGTGCACGTTATGACATACGGACTCAGTAAATGTTTTTGACTATATGATCTGAGAAACTGGAACAACTATGACATAAGCTGCTTTAAGTTGCCTTCACTCTTCAGAATTCATTCATTTATTTATTCCTTCATTCAGTCAACCAGGCATGATCATATATTTGTTACAAATGTCTGAGTTGTGTGGGCGTTTTACAGTTGAGATCATTTATATGAAAAATGATCTTCCTAAAAAGTAAATCTGAAAATAGCACTCTCCAGTCAGAACTCTTTATCAATTCCCCATAGTTTTGAGGATAAAGTTCTATCTCTTTTAGCTTAACAACTTGGCATTTTATGAAGTGACTTTAACTTTCCTTTCTGTCCTCAACTCCTGTCACTCTCCTACCTTTTATTCTAGGACACGGATCTGCAAAAAGGGTGAGATAGTAAATATTTTAGGCTTTGTGAACCATGCAGTCTCTGTAACTCAACTCTGACATTGTAGCAAGACAGAAGGAACAGATAACACATAAAGAAATGAGTGTGACTGCATTTCAATAAAACTTTACAAAAGCAGGGGGCAGGCTGAATTTGACCAGTGGGCTGTAGTTTACCAGCTGTTCTAACACACATGTCTAATTAAGACATCTAAGTTACTTGCTACTTTCTGGTCATCAGATTGAATTATGATGTCATCAATGTAGTGGATTGATGTAATGTTCTATTGGATGCTAGGAGGATCGTTATCTTTGCCGAGTAGATGATGGCCAATGGTGGAAGAGTTTTTATAATGATGCAATGTTGTTCCTGCTGGGTGAAAGCAAATCACTTCTGATAGTCCTTACAAGTTGGTATAGAGTGTTGGTTCTCAAAAGGTGGTCCCCAGGACCAGTGGCACCATCATCCACAGCCTACAGAGAGCACCTACCATAGAGTTTTTAAAGACTGCTGATGTCCCACTAACCAATGTCTTTCCCAGTGTCTTTACAAAGGAAGAGTCTTCTGAAGTCTTGGGAAATGTAGTTGGGGGGAGGGTGGTGGGCATGTCATGCATGCTAAATGCATCCTAACGTTCCCATTTCCTTAAACTTTTAGATTCTTTATAACATGCAAGGGAGGATCTGGCATCTCAGCCTCAGTGATAATAGGCCGCTATTGAATCCAACCAATCAAAGAAACTGTCAAGAGACGGAACTATATGAGCTAACACATTAAATTCAGAATCTCTGATAAGCACACCATATCAATAAATCCAGCCTAAACCAAAATTATATTTTATGTTTCGGGGTCTCACATCCTTAGAAATGATTTCTACACATATTCCCCAGGTTTGTTCCAATATAATATAGAAAAATCTTGCTATTCTTTTGAAACTATAAGCTCTCTCTGACTGAGTCATATTGCATGTGACTCCCTGCAAAATATTGAGATCTCACTATAGCTACAGGTCTTCAAGCGGATAGGCATCCCCTTGCAAGAATTTACCTCTTGTATCTGCCACTCAATTTGGGTCCGATCTTCAGGGAGATTAGTTTTAGGGCTCCCACAGAAGGTTTCTGGTTTCCTAACTGTGACTGAGCTGCGAATTTCAAAGCCTCAGCTTGTAATTTTCTTTCTGTAATTTCTTAGTGCCTTCAGAAACAACCATTTCACATCACATTCCTTTTTACTCTTATATGGTCAAAGTGAGCACCATTTGATCCTCTAAGGTATTTGAGTCCTTTAATAGTCACTTCATCGCAATCGAACACAGGTGATAATTTAATTGATCATGATTTATCAGTTGAAGTGATGAATTACTAGTATTCCATTTCCCATTGGCAAGGAACTCAGCAATGCATTCAAGGCCAAAGACATAACCAAATGCAACACAGAATCCCTGATACCTGGAACCCACTCTTGGTGCCAAGTACTGTATCAGTCAGGTGCAGTCAAGAAAACCAGATGTTACGCTACTGGTGTTGAAAGGCTGAGTAAGCAAAAAAAGAATCCTGAAGTAACCCAAGAAAAAAAAACTGTAGGAAGAAGCTACCACCCCTAGTATTGAGAAACAAGGAGAAGAGGTCAAGATTATCAAAACCCAGAAGAAAATGAGAGAAAGGATCTTGTGGAACCTGGTTCTGGGAATGCCCAAGGAGACTGAAAGCTGTGAGCAGTTGCTGCAGCCAGGCGAAAGGGCATTGCTGATAGGGACGGTAAGCAAACAGGAAGAAGGATGTCCCATTTCTTCTTCTGACTTTCAGTCTCCCTCCAGCATCCCTTTATGGCAGACCCTCGGAGGGAGTCTGGGCCGTGGAGAACTGTGGTTTGCAGATCTCCAGTTCCAGCATCGCAGGGCAGAGTAGAGAAGAATGGCTTTCGATCTGAGATGCAATAGTTTAATAACTAGTACATCATGTAAAGAACTGACAGACGAGCAGGCAGAAGGAACAGAAACTACTAAGACCCTGGCAGAAAGAAATTTAGAGTGTTCAGAGAACAGAAGGGAAGCCAGTGGGCCAGGCATATAGTGAGGGAGTGAGTACATGAGACGAGGTTGGGAAATCAGCAGAGCCCATATCATATGGGATTTTGTAGACTGTGGTAAGGTGTTTAGATTTAGTTTTGAATGCATTCAAACATTCTTTCTTCCCTCTTACCTGTTAAATCCAGCTTGTGCAGAAGGCAACTCATACTTACCTGGTCATGTCTTACCATGTGGAATTGTAATTGCCTACTTACTTATCTGTATCCAGTGCCATACTGTAAGCAGTGTGAGGATAGAGAATTTGTCTTCTTGCTAGCAGGTGTATTCTTAGCACGTGGCATGGTACTCTGGCACCTACTATCACTCTCTCTGTTTATTGAGTGAGGTAATTAATAAACAAACTTTCTACCTGTGATAAGTCTTCCCTGATCCACATCCTCAGTGATTTCATATATTCTACCACACTGTCTATAATTCATTGATTGAATTGTCTCCCCCACTAGAGGGGAACTCTGAAGACCAAAATAATTACTTTTCACTCAGTGGTATGTTTCCAGTGCCTGGCACTCAGCAAATGTGCATTGAATAAATGAATGAATGAAATAACCAAATATGAACGGAGCAACTGGAGCTCAGTGTAGACACATGGTTGTCATCTGCTTATGGGCGGAAACTGAAGCCAGTGGATTGGGAGGGAGGTAGAATGAATTTTTCTCTCCTTCCTTCTTTCCCTTTTGCCTTCTCTCCTCCCCACCCCCCACCTTTATTCCTTCCTTTCTGCCTTTTGTAACATCAGTCAGCAATATCTGAAGCCACAGAGAAGACGTGGCCAGTAGATTTTATAACTAGAGGTCCTTGGTAACTGTAGAAAGAGTAGCTAGATATGCCAGTGGTTTCAAGCTAGTTGCAGAGAATGGATAGCATTTTTTAAAGGAGCTTGGCTGTAACTAGACAGAAAAAAATCTTGATTCTTATAGCTAGAAAGAATATAATTTGAGAAAAAAAGTTAATGAGAAAGACTAGAACTGACAGGAAAATTCCAAGAGACAGTATTGAAGAATTACTTCTGCCATTTGAGACAGAAAGCAGGAGGTGGGGTTGAGTATAGATGCAGAACGTTGAGGGAATTCTTTCTCAATGCCTCCTTTTTCTCTGGGAAATAGGAAGGGGAATGATCTGTGAGAATGAGCCAGGAAGTGGTCTGGTAGGAGACACGAATGGGAGCGGGGTGACCAAGGAGACTTGGAAAGATTGCCAGATTGTTTCAGTGGCTTCAATCTATGCAGTTGTGAAATTGTCTCCAGCCCCAGTTATCTGCTGGATATTCAAGGAGGACAGAAAGATGTCGGGTTGGAATGATCCCGGGTTGAGGCTTTGCTGGACATCTTTGGCAAAATGCCATAGGACCTGAGGAAATCTGCAAGGTTGCTGAGTGATAGTTCATGGATCTGGACTGAATAGGGAAAGAAATGAATTGAGGAGGGGCATCCTAGAGTGGGAGAAATTAAGAGGTCATGAGATTGTAGGTCTTGAGATCTAAGAGCTTATATACATGTATGTGTGCACGTATGGGCATACACACACATCCTTCACTAGGTGTGTGTCGTAAGTATATCACTGAATATCTTCAGATCCAGATTTCCAGTTTGCTTAGTAAGGTGATGGAATTAGACTAAATAATCTCTATTTTATTTTTATTTTGTTAGTTCTTCAGTTTGATGATGCTGTGTTCGTTCTGGAAGATTATAAGGGTATAAGGAAGAAGAAGCAAAGCACTAATTGAATTCTAAAAGAGCCATAGTAAAACACTTTAAATTTATTTCACATTGTTTAAGTCATGAAGGGTGTGGCTTGGAGTGTGAAAATGTATGCAAACTACAGTTATAAATAAAGGTCTTATTTATCCTTGATAATGTACTAGGAGGTTTGAAGGTGAGTGGATTGCTATCTTAGGGATAAAAGCTATGTAGAGTAATAGAAATAATAAAATCCGAAAGTTTCTAAAAAGTCCTGGAAATATTGGGTACCATGGTAGAGCACATTAGAGAAGAATGGGAACAATGGGAGGAAGGGAAACAAAGATTTGAGTTTATGTTTAAACATTTGAAGACATTTTCTAGGTTTGACAAATGTTGGGAATTAAAAATGTATTATATATAATACAATATATAATATATAATATTGTGTATAATGTATACTAAAATCATGTAATAAATGAGTGAATTTATTTTAAAAATAAAAGGTTCAAAAATTAAAAGGTGCTGTTCTCCGTGTAAGCACCGTGAATGCATAGGCCATACGTGTTTGATTCACCACTGTCGCTTTGGTGAACAGCACTATGCTGGCACCTAATTTTGCTCATCAAATATTTGAGGAACAAGGAAAGTAGATGTAAGATGGTATTGTTCTCATTTTCATAATGTAGGAAGAGATAAGCAGGAATAACAAACTTTAACAACCTGGAATTTTTAGAAATTCGGTCTGGGCTATAGAAGAGATTATGTGATCGTGATGAGATCAAAGTAATCACTATGATTAATAAGTAATCCTTAATTAAATAATATGCCTAATGCCTAATGATAGAATGAAATTTTTTGGTGACCTCTGACCATACCATATCAAATATATTGATCCTATCTTATTAGACTTTTTTCTCAAGGTCATTAAAATGCCTGCAGATTATCTCAAATATCTTTTCTCTTTCAAGTGACATAGTAAGAAGACATGTATATTTATTCTTATATAAAACTAGCATTATATTCTATTCCTTCCAGCACTCAGTTCTATATTATATCTACTAGATAATAATGGAATGAAAATTTACTTTTTAAGACTGGTAAGATGGAAATTGTTACTGAAGTTTTTTTTTTTTGTTAAGGCCAAAGAACAGTATTTCATCTTTTATTAAAGTATAACATCCTATATTCAAAGTACTGTATCTGTATCTAGATTCTTGTCAGTTAAGAGAAGAACATAGGAAAATGATTGACAGGAATGTGTAAAGTGCAAATAAGCTACAATGGCATGGGACAAACTCAGTACAGTTAATGGTATGAAGGATCTTCATAACCAATGATGGAAATGACATGATACTTTTGCAGGAGAGAAATGAAACCACAAAAACATGGGAAGAATTCTTTTCAAAATGTGTGATAATGTGGTTCCATATTTCTCACTCCAGATAGGAGACTGAATACTAAGTGGAAAACAAAATGAACAAAATACGCATATAAGCAACTCTACACGCTCGCCTCCTGCACTGGAGAATTAACGGAGCACCATAACTGAGCACAAGCTTTTAAGTAGAGGGTCCACCTACAGAAAATGTCATTTGCCCTGCAAGCTTACAATTATATCATTAAATCCCAATCAGGGGTGTTAGAAGGAGTAATTAGGAATATGTTGTAAGGTTGCACACTCATAAGAAATTTTTTATGGGAAGGAAAAAATCTTAAGCATTCACAGTGGGGAAGTCTCATAAGACTTTTGAAAATCAAGCATTTAAACCGAGGAGGCTTTTATTTAGCAAGAACAGCCAAAAGAGTTGTTTTTATTTTGTTTTTTTGTTTTCTTTTTAACCTTAATTTGAATGTTGTTTAAGCATCTTACCTTTTTCATCTATGGCCTAACATATTGATTAAAAAAGAATAGGAAAACAGAGAGACGGATTCCAAAGAGATAATTGCTAAGTTTTCCTTTATATTTTCCATAAGGAATCAATTCCAAGCTTCAGTTTGAAATCATGCCAGGTGCTTCATTTGGGTTGTTCGAGATAAATCCTGACACTGGAGAGGTAGTGACAACCACCACACTTGACAGAGAAGTTCAGGAAGTCTTCACCCTTCAAGGTAAGGGATCTCTTGACTATGCTAAACAAACAAACAAATAGGCAGCAGAGGTTTACTGGTGACATTTTACATTTCAAATGGGTATCTTTAAATTAAATATTATTGACCCAGTGCTACCCAGTTAGTTGGGTCTGATACTGTCTGGTTAGGGCTATATATTTTGGGTATGAATTAATGGCCACAATCTGCCATCTTTTATTTCGTGTCAGTACTTGTACGAGATGGGGGAGTCCCTTCATTGTCCAGCACCACAACAATTCGCTGTACTGTGGAGGATGAAAACGATCACGCACCGGAGGTTATTGTCCCCAGTCATGACATTGAGATTCTGGAAAACCAAGAGCCAGGGGTTGTCTACACTGTTTTGGCCTCTGATAGGGATGCTGGCAATAATGGAGCTGTCAAGTATCACATAATTGGTAAGTATTTTCCTTATTAAAATTCCCCCCAAGATACCGACTGAGCTGACACACACTGTGTGGTGATTATTCTGTACTTGGCGTCTATTGCAGTGTCTACAAAATACACACCCAGTAAGGACTGATTGGCGCCACGGGTTTCCTCTCTACCTCCTTCCCACAGCCACCCTGAACCACTGCCTGCCAAATTCTTTAAAAATCTGCTGTCAACAACTCTTGTGAATTTTTCTATACTATCATCAGTGGATGTACAGATGGAACAGACAGCTTTTTTCTACTTTTGTTCTTTCATATCGCTTATTTTTATTATTTTGGATCCAGATTTTTCAGGCCTTTCTAAAATGGAACCTAGAGGACATCAGTAGACAAAAAATACCCAGATCTGAAGACCATTGTAACCCTTCAGATCTACAACTATAGCCCGCAGATTGAGGTCTTTAGGAACTTCTACCCTAGAGGATAATTTTGTGATGTTGCTCCCTTATCAGAGGCATAAGGATTTCTGACAGAATAACTTTAGCATTAGCGTGGTCAGTTGAGAGAGCCACATCTTATTCACCTAAAAAAAGTGATTGAAGAATCCGATTTTCAGCATATGTCAGAGAGCACATGAAACGATAAGAGATGAAGAGAGAGTACTGCTTCAGAGACTGCTTCTGATGAGGAGAAGCTGCTTTATGGTCTTTTAAAAATGGTTTTAAGACTAGCTTCGGAAGCAATCGCTCTCTATTTGCCAAAAATTCTATAACCAAGCTACGTTTTCTTTGTGTCACTCATTTACTCCAAAATGAAAATAGCTTTATTGCCTTTTCCCCTAATTCTAAAAATGATATGTAATTGTTGTAGAATATATATACAATTTATGAAAAACAAAAGTACTAACTCAAAAAATCTCATATCTTGCAGAGATAACGAATTTAATATTTTGAAAAACACTTTTCCATGAACCTCAGTGAATTTTAAACATATTGGATAGTTTACATATGCTAGTTTGTTACCTCATATTTTTGGGGGGGGAAGGGTGAGGAAGATTAGCCTCTTCTGTTGCCAATCTTCCTCTTTTTGCTGAGGAAGATTGTCCCTGAGCCAGCATCTGTGCCCATCTTCCTCTATTTTTTTATATGTGAGATGGCGCCACAGCATGGCTTGAAGAGTGGTGTAAGTCCACGCCTGGGATCCAAACCTGCACACCCCTGGCCGCCGAAGCGAAGCATGCGAACTTAACCACTACACCACTGGGCCAGCCCCTGTTACCTCATTTTTTAAACTAATATACTGTGTAAATCTTTCATGTCAGTGAACCTACATATATACTAGCATTTCTAATGATGTCTCATTCATACATATAACATCATTTATTACACTCAGCCCTTTTTATGGTCATTTAGATATTGAACAGCTTACTATTATAAAAAAGCTGTACTGAACAACACATCCAATTGTTTCCTTATGAGAAATGTAAGTGAAATTATCATATTCAAGGGAATATATATTTTAAATGTTTATATGTATTATCATACTATCATCTCGAAGAATGATACTCCCTTAAACTAACATATAAATAAACCCAATTCTTACCTCTTTCCCATCTGTTGCAGTGAAATAGATAGTTTTTCTCCGCTGTAAACTACACCTATTTTCCAGAACTTCTCAAACTATCTGTGGTTAAGGACCAGGGTTTGTATTTTATTAAATTTCCCATCTGTTGTGACTGATACTTTTATAAAATACAATAAATATGAATTACTGGGGAAAAAACCCAAAGGCATACAAAATGCAAGCCTCAATTTTTCATTCCTTAGCCCTCTACCATATGTGTTCCACTGAAGTCACTCCACCAAAACTACCCTTACAAAAGACACGAAGGATCTTGGTGTTGCTAAATCCAATGGATCCTTTTCAGTTCTTAATTTAATTATACTGCTTGTGCCTTTGTGCACCAGACCCTGGACACTTGACTTCAGAAAGCCACTTTCTCCTGATCCTTCTTGACTTCAGTCCTTCCCACCTTGACTTCAGAAAGCCACTTTCTTCTGATCCTTCTAGATGAACCTTCCCAAGGTCCTTGTTCTGCTAGTGGTCCTCTGACTTGGAGTTCCCTGGTCTTCATGCTTATCCTTTTTCTTTCCTCGTAGACACACTCTTACTGGGTCATTTCATCCAGTCCCTGTCTTCAGCTGCCATTGGTACCCCAATATCTCCCTATCTTTATCTGCATCTTAGATCTAAGTCCTGTTAAAGGACTTTTTTTTACGAGTAAAGTAATGACTCTCATACAAATATAGAATTAACAACTGCCAAATACTTTCATTTACTTATTAATTAATGAATGAGCCAAAATGATGTTAAAATCAGTTCAAGGAGAATTCCAAGAAACAAACACACACATATAAAGGAAATAAAGAATTCTGAAATGCAGACAGTCTGCAGGACAATAATCATTGGCGGTCCACCAGACACGATTACCTCGCATTTCTCTGGGCAAGATCATTTGCATTATTATCAGTTTTCCACAATTTACAAAGTGGTAAAATAGCTGAAAGACAATGAAGGTGGAATAAACTGATGGCAAAACCACACTGGAGACTCGCTAATCTTTGTTTTTTTAACCCCGGGCACTCACTTATCTTTTTCCTCCCGTTTCAAATTGTTTCACAGTTTTTCCTGAGAGCCTCAAGGACCCGATCTTTATATCCAACAGCATCACATTGTCAATGTTTCCAAAACTGATCTGAACATCACCCCCTTTTCATGCAACCCTGTCATGGTCTGGCTTCTCCTAGAGTCCTGCCTGTGATCGTCAGCCTTTTTTACTCCACTTGCACTTAAAAGAATCTTGGTACAGATATAAGCACTGAAGATCCTTGTTCACATATTTTACATGGGAGGATTATTGTTACAGGAGTAACACTTTGTTCTTGAACTCCTGCTGAGTTATATGCCCCCAAAATCAATTAATGGTCTTTATTTTTATTTATTTGCCACTTAGAATCTTGAATAGGTCTTTGCTATGAACGAAATTGAAGGATCCTGAATCCTTCCTTCCTTTCTCCTTATTTTTCCTCCTTAATATCTTTGGAATGTGTCCACATCTTCTGTACATATATTATTTCAGAACCTTCTTGTTACTCAAGTAGCTCACTGTAATAGCCTCCTAACTTGTCCATATCCATATTCTAACCAAGCTTTGACATTGCTGCCCAATACTCTTTCTAAAACAGAAATGTGATTCATGACACTTTCCTGCCTAAAATCTTTCAAGGCCCCCCATAGATTTTAAGATAAAATATAGACTCCACAGCAGTGTACACAGACTGCTTCATGATTTGACCCTCTGCATATCTCCCCAATTCATGTCTTCGCCACTGCCAACCCTCTCCCTACCCTCTACACTCAAATATCCAGGGAACCCTGTGTTCTAGTCACACTAAAACATTTGCAACCATCAATTTCTCATATTCCTGGGACTCCACACAGGTTCTTTCCTCTTCCCTTTCCTCTTCCTTCTCTCTGAAACTTGTAGCCTGGCTACCTCCCCTTTAGGAGTTAGTTTTGATGTCACTGTTTCTCATAAGCATCCCCTGGCCACCGTAACACAGGACTGTGTGCCCTTCCCCAGTGCTTCCCAGCACCCTGTATGTATGATTTTCACACTATACTTTACTATCCAGGTACTGTCTCGCCTCTCTTCCTGGACTGTAAACTCTCGGAGGCTGGGATCATGTCTTACTCTCCTCATATTCCTAGCATCCAGCACATAGTTGGTACATGACAGGTGTTGCTTAAATGTTTCCTGAGTGAATGAATTGCTTTATCAACCACAAATGCCACAGAAATATAGTTTTTCTGATCATCCTTATGTTTGGTACAAATTAACCATGTCTTATGAACAAAATACAAATACGAGTCCCTTCTCCTCAGCCCCCAGCACCACCCATGGCTGTTGTCTTCTCTGAATGCCGCTCCACTTCTTCCCCATATGCCTCTGGCAGACTCCAATAAATTCCCACGCTATTGGGAATAGTGCCCCTGATCAAAGAATATGCCCCTCATCTAAGAATATGCCCCTTATCTAAGAATATGGCCAGCAGGTCATTGAACCACATTTTTCCTGACTAATTTTGTGGGTGACTTTGAAATGTCTTTGACAGCTTTTTGTCCCTGTGCTCAGTTTTAATTTTTATTCCACTTGGTAACATGGACAATAGTAAAGGGAAGATTTTTTTGAAGGATACAGAGAAAAATAAAACATTATTCTTGCTTGTGTTATGGAAGAAATAGACAAGAATTCCACTATGTCTAACAGGAGTGTTACGATTCACGCACGAAGTGCCATGGAAATGTAGAAGAGGAACTTGTTCCAGTAATGTAACTGACATACAATCTGTAGTGAGTAACACTTGGGAAAATTACTGCTGTCAATCTGTTAATTTTTGGTTGAAAATGGACATTATATGCTGCTTCTTATCCCTGCCTACCATATTTTATTTAAAATAAAACATACATTTTAATCCTCTCAAGAGGAAAAATATATGAATATAAAAAGTTGTGAATGCACACAAAACTATACTGCCACAAGTCAGTCAAAGCAATGGTCTAATTATTGATTGAATTAAGATAGATATTGAATTATATTATTTTGTTTATCCTTTGATAATAGAGACTTCATGAGGGTAGGGATTTTATCATGTTCACTGTTATAGCCTGAGAACTTACAAAAGCGCTAGGATGTAATAATCAGGAAATAAATATTTGTTGAATAAATGAATCATTGAATACATATATATGTGTATATATATATATATATGCTAGCAAAGGGCTGCTACTTTTCAATTCAAATGAATTTTGAATTTGTTTTCCTTAATAGACGGAAATACTGATGAGTACTTTGCTGTTAATGAAAGGTCAGGAGAACTCTCAACCACTCGCGCTTTGGACCGGGAGCAAGTCAACAATTTCACCCTTGTCATCCTGTGCTCTGATCTGGGGGATCCACCTAGGAGCTCTGTAGTGCAGCTGCAAGTTAGAGTTTTGGACGACAATGACCACAGCCCTTCCTTTCCCACACTTCATTACCAGGCCTCCGTGGGAGAAGATGCTCAAGTGGGAACAGTGGTTCTTGTACTCTCCGCTGTGGACAAGGATGAAGGCCTGAATGGGCAAACTGAGTATTTTCTGATGGATGAGGCTTCTAGTGCATTCGCCATTGATCCTGTGGCGGGCACGTTGAGAACTGGCCATACCCTTGACCGAGAAGCCAGATCTCAGCATACGTTTAGGGCTGTGGCCAGAGACTGTAGCATCCAGGGCTCGAGAAGCACCACAGTAATTATAACAGTCTATGTCACTGATGTTAATGACAATGCTCCAGTTTGGGAACAGAACCCCTTTGAAATTTTTCTTTCCTCCCAGTCACCTGCAAACCAGACAACTGCCATTCTGAGAGCCAATGACCCAGACTTGGGGCCCAATGGAACTGTCATTTTCAGTTTTGCAGAGACTCAGTCAATGTTTTCTATTGATAAATATACAGGAGAAATTCAACTTCAGCACAACCCATCTTTAGAATATTTTCCAATCTGGCTGCAGTTAAAAGTTATGGACCAAGGGGTCCCAACTGCTAGGACAACCACTGGTCTCTTGATCATTCACATGGAAGGAGAAGATGTCAAGATTTCCTTCAGCCACCATCTGTATAAAGGGACTGTGACTGAAAATTGTGATGCAGGTGAGTGTCCCCTCAAGCTTTTTGCATATTGTACCTGTTTTGGCAAAATGCTTAAAAGTGAGGATTATATAACAAGAGTGCTATTGCAGATTCAGGTATAAATTCTTGAGTCCAACTGATTCTTGGTATGCCAATTTTCATCCAAAATACATTATTAGAAAAATACACTCAAATACTGTAAAACACACACACACAAACCTTTGAAGACAGCAAAAATTAGTAAAAATACTAGAAGATAAATCATTCAGGGCTCTTGAAGTTTCAGTTAATTTAAGTTTACAATCTCAAAAACAAACCTTTTTATTTTAAATATGTATGAATCCTTAAAAACTGTACATTTCCTAAAGTACTTTCTTAGAAGTACAATGAAAGAGGAAGTGTATTGGGTTCAGTGCTTGGGCTCTGCCGGGTTTACCTCCTGACTCTGTTGCTGTGCATCCTTGGGCAGCTGAATCTCTCTGAGCCTCAGTTTCCTAATCTGCAAAATAGGAATAATAATCGTGCTACCACATTAGGTTATTCTGAGGACTGAATGAGCTAGTTCATGTAAAGCCCTTAAAACAGTGTCTGAGATATAGTGGGCATGTAATAACTAGGAACTGCTGTTATTATTATTACTGTTATTACTTCCTTTTGATACAGTCAGTAGTGGCTTTCACACAGTGCAGTAATGACTGATCTTCAAAGAATTTGGCACACATTACACAACTCAGAACAGGCTTCTATGGATGGTAACTATTTTTCCTCACAATGTAAAATTATTTTTCAATTATTTTCCCACTCAAATTTATGCCGTAATGGGAAACATAAAAAAAAATTAAACTAAATGATCTTTCTACCCAAAATAGAAAAAACCTATTTGTAGATAGCTGTGAACTGAAAGAAATTCAATCTAGGTAATTATATCTAACTAGAGAGTAGAGAAATGAATCTTCTGATCCTTTTAGCCAACCAGAGGACAAAAATAATGGACTCAGGCCTTGGAAGAGGAGCCGTTTGCTTCCAAAAGGTCTGGTGTGTGCTGTTTGCTTGTTCATGTCATTTTTAGTTTTCATTTTGTCATTTTATCATGATTCGATTTCACTTTATCCATACCTACAGAAAATGCTATTTAAGAGGCAACCTGCATTTTTCTGAAATTGATTTATTTATTTCATAGTGAAATTATTTTTGTTGCACATTATATACTGCCTTCTCTATGAAGAGAATCTTCAATTTAATATTGAATATAAGGGTCGTTCTCTGTGGTGGATTATTAACCTGACTTTGATCTTTTTTTGAATTATGGTTATCCTATGGGTTGCTTCCTCAGAAGGCCTCTTATTGATTCCAAATATAATTAAGAGTAAATTGCAATTACCTTCATTAAATGAAATATTAGTGACTTCCAAAATAAGTCAGAAATTTCCAACCTATATTCTTATGTGTAATGAGACTTCCACATAAGCATTAAATCTTAAACAATATGAGATTCTTTTTAGAGCTATATTTCTATTCCTCTTAAAAGGCATACATCCTAACCCCAGAGCAGAGCCTGATGGAAAGTAAAGTTAACATTTTCTAAATAATATGGCACAAAATACAATATATTAATCAGTCTTGAAATTGATCTGAGAAAGTCATAGAATCTTTGAGCCCAGCCTTCATCTGCATTACAACTATAAACATTTCTTCCTAAACACCCATAACATGTGGTCTTTCAGTCTCTACTTGAATATTTCAGTGACTGAGAGTTTACTGGTTCTTGAACTTGGGTGTGAAACAAGTAATCTATGACCAACCCTTGAAGTTTCTGCCTCATTAAGTCTGGGGTGCGGGATTTGTTGTTTCTCAAAAGCTCTGCAGGTGATTTGATTGCACGACAAAGTTAGAAAACCCCTTCATTTGGAAAGTCATTCATATGTTGAACCTAGGTCTGCCTCCTTTATGTGTATCCATAAATCCTAGTTCTGCCCTCTGGAGCACTCCACTTCTCTACACAGTCACTCTTCAGCTATTTTTTTGCTCTTTCAACACATTTGAGTATTATGTGCCTGGTACTTTTCTACTGAGATGTATTAGAGAACTAAAACACTAAGATGCTTGCCCTTGTGAGGCTTATGTTCTAGCAGGGACAGAGAGACGATATCAATGAGCATAATAAATAACTAAAGTATGGTATACGTCAGATGGTGATAGGAGTTATTGAATAAACAAAGAGCAGAGCAGGGTAAGAGGGAATTGGGAGTGCTGGGGGAGAGGACAAATTGCAATTTTAAATAAGAGGTAAAGGCAGGCATCATTGAGTAAGAGACATTTGGGCAAAAACTTAAAGAGAGGAGGTAGCCATTCATATATTTGGGGGCAGAGCATTTCAGAAAAAAGGAGAAAGCCAATGAGAGCGTGCCTGGTTTGTTCAAAGAACAGTAAAGAGGGCTGTGTAACTGAAGCAGTGTAAACAAGGACATGAGGTCAAAGGACTAAGAGATCATGCAGGACCCAGTAGATCACCGGGAGGACTTTTGCTTTTACCCAAAATAGTTTTCCCTTCTCTAGTTTATTCAGTTATTTTTCACATAGTAGGGTTTCCAACCACTATTAGTGAACATTCACATCCAATATACATTCTGCAGAGTAATAGGCACTAAATATATTATTCCTCAAAAGAATTGGCATGGAAGTCATCACGTTATCACACTTTTCACATCAGTAGATGAAATATCTAAAGATTAAGTAATGTGGGCCGGCCCCGTGGCTTGGCAGTTGGGTGCACGCGCTCTGCTGCTGGCGGCCTGGGTTCGGATCGCGGGCGCGCACCGAAGCACCGCTTCTCTGGCCATGCTGAGGCCGCGTCCCACATACAGCAACTAGAAGGATGTGCAGCTATGATATACAACTATCTACTGGGACTTTGGGGGAAAAAATAAATAAATAAAAAATTAAAGATTAAGTAATGTGCCTAGGCATTCCATAATTGTTAGGATATCCTTTCTCAATTCACCTAGGATCAATTTGTTTGCAGAATTAAACCTAAATAAAAGTCAGTATCTAAGGCACCTCAAAGAAAACATTTCAATATGAAATTAAATTATGGATTAGTAAGTATAATATTTGTGGTTGGATTCAGAAGTGATTGAAAATAACACTAATAAAAACTGCTGTGGAAGGGGAAAATTTGCAGCTGTTTTCATTTTTGCAATGTACCATTCATTTGTATGTCACAGATTCACTCTGTTGATAGGAGGCAGCCATTATGGGAGGAAACTACATTGATTTTAGCCTGTTTCCCATCACTCAGGCACTATCTCATCAAATCTGTACACCTTCCATCTACTCCCAGCCATCACAGTTGGGATTAATCAGTATGGTTAAGGGTAACCTGGTCTGAGATAAAGAGTTAAGACAGAAGACAGTGAAGACCAAATTACTTTCTTCCCTCTGAAGTTGGGCCTCCTATTTAAGACTCGATCAGAAAAGCTGATGAATAAATGGATGGCAAGTCTTCATCCTGCTATCTGCGTCGTCGTGTTTTCTTTGACCTCTGATCAGAGTTGTCCTTCTTAGTGCTCTTCTATGTAGAATTACTGAATTAAATTTGACTGTTATCTTTTAATAGAACTTAACACTCTAAAAATATGTTTATTAAATCTTACACATAAGGAAGGCTAGAAATACTTCTGGCAGTAATACAAGCATATGGTATCCATAAATATCCGGGTAGGTATACATTTCAAGACATCTGAAGCAACGGGTTGGGACCTCGCTTTGAAGAGTAACTATGACATGTGTGAAGGGCATAAAGTCGAAGTTGAGAGGTAAACTAAAAGCTGTAGCATGTAACAGGAAGGAGAAAGGGAGAAGGAAAGGATGACAGTTAAAGAAGGCTTTGAATCTGAGTAGATGCAACTAATCTACACCTGGGTCTGGGTCAGCAGGATTTCCTAGGCCCCTGTGAAAAACAATGACAAGGTGCATAAAATATTGATTGACATTTCAAGCTGGCCAAAGCTTTGCCAGGAACATGAATTCAGTACAGACAGACTGCCAGATCATGTCATAGACACCAGAAGATGATTTTTTTTTCCCTTGTTTTTGAATTCCAGTTGTTTTAAATGATTGTAACTCCATTGATCAGTGTTAGAATGGCCTTGGTAGAAATGATTTAATAGCATTTATAGCTTCCAGCATTATTTCCCTCCAAAATATACTTGCAATTTAATTTTATTTTCAAATGAAAAATATATGTCTATTGGGAGCTTAAATTTTCTGTGGGTTACTCATACATCCTATTGGTAGGCACCACTTGACATCCTGAGTGAATTACTTTATGAATTATCATAAATTTTCATCACATTAAATTGATTTTAACATTTAGATGTTCTTTTAAGAAAGTAAAAAGTTAAAACAAGTAACTGCAATGTATTTATATTTGTTTAACATTTCTTTCTTGGAAAACCCCCAAGTTCAAGTTTCAATTAACATTTCATTTGTCTATTAACAACATTAAACTTAATATCAATTGTTTAAAACAATATATAGTTCAGTATATAGTTCCCATTTTAAAAGCAACCCTCTGGTAGGTAAAATCTCTTTAAGAATCAGTCATGAAATGTTCGCTTATTCGTAGAGTCATTCTCAAGGGTTCCAGTTGCCTATAAGAGAGAGGCTAGCCATACAGCAACATGACTAGAAAAGTTGAAGTCCAAGTGATTCCCTGCTTTTTACTCTTACTACTGTTTCTTTTCAATCCAGATGAGAGAGAATCTAACCATTCTGAATCTTTTTGAAGTGAAAGATAAGCCATTTGGTTGTCCATGAACCTTCTAGAAGCCAGCTTTTATTTCTTCTGTTTCACTCCCAATGCTTTGGTTATCCTGATAAGGATGAATCAGCAATCATAGTCCCCAATGTCGACTATTCACGATTTCATGCATTTCTTTGAATTACCATGAGGGGAAAAATGATCTTATGAATTGTACTGATACTCTGATTAAAAGTAAATACTCAGACTTTGAAAGACT